GCTGGCTGCGTTTGTGGAGAAGGGGTCCCCCCCCAGCTGCAGGGAGCCGGGTTCAGGGATTTTACTTTCCTTGCCAAAAGAGGAGGGCACCAACCAGCCAATGCTGGCGTCAGACGCTTCCCTGGGGAGACCCCGTTTGCTGGCAGAGGCACGTTTCTGCTCCTGTTTGCACAGCGCCAGGACACACCAGCTGCTCCGGTGACATGTGGCTGGCAGGGCATTGGGCTGAGGAGCTGTGCTCCAGGTGCCGCTGGGTCAGGCTGGTTCCTGGGGCCGGGGAGGGGCTGCATGCTTCCAGGCGGGGAGCCGGGGAAGTCACCCTTGTCATGCCAGGGCTCTTTGGAAGAACAGGCACGTGCAAACTCCCTCAACGCATGGGCCCTTCTTGGGAGAGCAGCTCCGTGCTGGGCCCTTCTGCTTTGTACTGCGGGGCGGCCCTGGCGCGGGGCACCCAGGGGTGCAAGGCTCAGCCGCGGGAGACGGCGGGTGGTGGGGCAGGAGGAGGCCACAGCGTCTGCTGGATCCTCTGCCTGCAGACAGGGTAACTGGGGAGTCTGCTCTAAGTCTTGCTGGCTGGGTGTCCCCTGGTTCTGAGAGGGGCTAGTGTCATGCCGGGGGGGGGAGGATGCTGGCATGACCCCTGTGCTGCAGTTTGCAGCGCTCCCCCGGCCTATGCGCACTGGGCTGGGTTGAATGAACCTGCTCCAATGAACCCGTGGAGGGCCAGGCCGGGACTGTGTCGCCGCTGGGGCTCCCGCACCGCTGAGCTAGGCAGATGGCGTGTGACGTCAAGTCCTGGGTGGGTTCCGGTGCCTTCCCGGAAGAGAGCTTTGCTCAGGAGGGAAAGAAAAGCAGAAGCCACCGACTTTCTATTGCGGGATCCCCCTGCCAAGGGAGGGCAGGTCCCGGGACCAGAAGCCGCTGCCTTGCCCTTTAGTTACAGAGAAACGCTCGCCTCTGTTTTACGCCTCGCGGTGTCTGTCTGGGCTTGTGCAGCGACACGAGTGCCTGCTCTGTCACACACGACCCATCTGATCCAGATAGACACACGTGCACACTGATAGGGACATGGAGGGAGCATATACACACATACACATACACATGGGATGAGTGCACACCCACTTACCAAGGGAGCATGTACACACACACACACACACACACACACACAGGGAATGCATGCATACGCACAGAGTACAACATGCACGCAAAGGGAGTACATATGCATGTGTATACAGACACAGGGAGTCCACGTGTGTTTGTGCACACAGAGGGAATACACATGCATGTGTGTACACACACACAACGCACACACACACTGAGGCATACTGCACACCCATTTGAGTGCATGTGCACGCACACAGACAGGAATACACGCACACCCGCACACACGGGGACCGCACAGGCGTGCACACACACACACATCTGTCAGTTTGACCCGTCAGTTCCAGAACCAGCTAAGGCCTCTCTGGGAGCCGAGCAAGACTCCACCAACCCCTGACCCCGGGACATGGCTGG